GAGTTAACCCATTTGTTTCTCTCTTTTTTACAATTCGTTTGAGAAGTTTTTCAGTACGATTTCAAAGTTTCATATCGTGCGTGATATAATTATGTAAGATCATTTGTAAATTGATTTTTTTTGTTTTTCTTTTAAATAAAGATAATACCGAAAAAAAAATATATATATATATATATAGATATCTCGGGGATTAGGTTTATAAAAAAAAGAAAAAAGAAAAAAAAAAAAAGAAAAAAGAATATGTATGTAATCTATATCGTGTAACAAATCATCAATAATATTTCTTAACGTGTATGAAGAAGATATTTAAAAAAAAAAAAAACAATTATTTAGACAATTAAAAGCTGCATAATAATAAGCAATGAACACATTACATCCATTCACAAATCTATATAGTATATAATAATTAATAGTTCAATGATAATTGTAATTATTATTATCATCATCATCATCATCATCATCATCATCATTATAATCATTATTATTTATAATTATATTCGACATAGCATTTGATATAAAAGAAAATGTTAAATAGGACCAATATATTTAAAAGCCGCATAAATCTTATTATTATTATCTGCAATATCACAGTACTCGTTGAAACGTACTAAACACGTACTTTCTGATATATGAAGCCAATCTAAATAAAAATAAATGGCAAGCAAAATATTATTAGCAAAAAAAAAACATGCCACGTGAGAATATATTGCCTAGCCATTAATCATTTTATTTCTACACCTTTCTTCGTGTCTATTATAATAATATAATCGGTCATCGAGGTAAGCCTTATAAAACTTGTGCCATTAAAATTATACTCTACCTCTTTGTTTGTTTGTTTGTTTTTTTTTTCTTTTTCTTTTTTAATCTTTCTTAATTATATTTTTATAATCGCACTTTATGGAATAGAAAATCTGTTCCTGATCACTCAATTCGTATTTATATTATTATATATAGGGCACTATTTGAGACGCAATGAAAATAGAAAACATTTTTACGTGGTATTTCGTACATTTAAATGCCTATTTGTCGTAATTTTAAATTCCATCGAACACAACAATGTGTAGTGGACAGTTTTGCAGATATGTCAAAGTTTCATAATTTAAGTCAAATGTAGTATTATCATTCTTGAGAAGTACATTCGCGCTAAACAAAGCATGAAAAACAATATTGTAATCTTTTATAAAGTATAAAAATTTGTTGTAATAGTAAAAAGAAAGAAAAAAAAAAAAAGAAAAAAAAAACACAAGAAAAAAGAAAGAAAACGAAAAGAGAAAAAAAGAGAAAGGAGAAAAAAAAATACACTAGTGTAGTATGCGTATTTTTCCTAACTATATATAGTAACGGTACGTTCGTATTGATAATTGTATTATGTTGAAAATAAAAAGAAAAATGAAATTGCGATTTGTTGCAATTTAGTTTACCACACAATGTTGGAAAAATGTTTCGAAATAATATGATACTGTTTGCAGTTTAAAATGACACCAATAATTTTGATATCTGACGAGATTTATGATTGTTTGTGTTGTTTTCTCGTTCTTTATTAGCCTATTGTCATACGTAAACAGGACCTTGATTATCATTATCATCCAAACTTATTCGACTAGGATACGCGGGGCCACCACCATCATCAAAAAAGCGCCTAAATGTGAATTCAAAGAAACCATGAAATGGTTTCCCATTGTCTAACAATTCGTCTGACTTATTAGAATCTGAGGATTCAGAATTTCTTAACTTGTCAGGATCCACAGGATCAAAATTACTTGTATCTGTGGGATATTGTATGCGAGGTATGTGAGGTGCTACCTGTCGTCGTAGTCCTTTTTCAAAATCAATACTTGCAAAAAATGGATGACTCTTGACTTCATCCGCATTTTTACCTAATCGACGATCAGCCCCAACGCAAAGTTTTAATATTAAATCCATACCTTCAGGTGATAGATTAGCTTGTTTAGGGATATGAAGAGTGGTCTCCCAATTAATGACCTGCAAAAAATATAATAAATAGTAATACATAAAGATAAGATTATTTTTGTATAGTTTAATACAGATAGATTGTTAATATACATTTGACCAACCTTGTATTGAGTCTCAGCTGGTGTATTGGCAAGAAAAGGTGGAGAACCAACTAGCATCTCATATAAAATTACACCCACACTCCACCAGTCACATAACTGAGTATATCCTGTGCGTTGCAAAACTTCTGGCGCAATATAATTTGGTGTCCCAACTAACGAATGTGCCAAGCATCTTTGATGTTCTCTGTGTCTCCTACGTTCCAATGGTTTTAATTGAATACAGCGACACTCGTTGTTCCAGTCGTCGGCTGGATCCATTGAATCTTGTTTACCATGACCTATTGATTGATTAATGCTTTAATTTTTTTAATTTATGTCTTCAGTTATATAATTAATCGTCAAATGTAAAAGACAAAAGAATGTTAGTATAATAATTCTACAATCTCAAATTTTTTGATAAGATAAATAAATGATGTTTACCATTTTGCTGGTAATATTTAGAATTGTGAGTCCAGCGAAATCCTGTACAGAGTCCAAAGTCTGTCAATTTAATATGTCCGTCGCGATCAATTAAAATATTGTCTGGTTTAATGTCTCTGTGAATGAATCCCATTTTGTGAACACTTTCAACTGCACACGTAAGTTCAGCAATATAAAACCTTGCTAATGGTTCTTTAAAAATACCAAATTTAATAAGCAAAGACATTAAGTCTCCTCCTGGTATATAGTCCATCACAAAATATAGATTATCCTTGTCTTGAAACGAATAATATAATTTAACGACCCATTCGTTATCAGCTTCTGCTAGAATATCACGTTCTGCTTTAACATGAGCTACTTGGTTTCTATTCAGTACATCAGCTTTACGTAATGTCTTCATTGCATAGAATTGATTAGTATCAAGCTTTCTCACGAGTGTTACTTCTCCAAAAGCACCAACACCAATAGGTTTTATTTTAGTGAACATAGATTTATCCATTTTTGCACGTTTCAATCTAATGTAATTAGATTCCTTTTGGGATAACATCTTCCTCATTTGACACTGTGCTTCTGCACTTAGGCCTATTTTAGCCATTTCTGTTTCTAACTGAAGACGTCGATACAAGCGTTGTTTGTGAGATTTCAGTACATTTTCAACATGTTGCTCCATAAAAAATTTGAACGCTTGAGGAGAATAATTACGAACTTTACAATCTCTACGCTCTTCTTCTTTTTCTTTACTCATATGTTTTCTTTCAGGAATAGGAGATTGATGTTTTATTTTATAAGATGACGGCGCACTACCTCCCTTTCCTCCATTTCCATCCGGTAAAGATGAGTGATTATTATTATTTCTCGAAGAAACAGAAGTCGATGCTACTGGAGGTAAAGGTGGTGTCTCCACTGAATGCGAACAATTGTCCACCGGTGAATATTTTCTTTGCAATGGAGGATGATTAGCAATTGGAGAAGATCGAGGCCCAGAACTACTTTCTACCGTAGAAATTCCAGATGTATCATCATTGGCTGTTCCATAAGGAGGGGGAGGAAGTGGATGATGTATGCCACGTTGTGCTGCTAATACTTGCATCGTTGTAGCATAACTAGGAGGTTCCGTTGTTGGTACACCTACTGAAACACCTACACTTACAGAACTCGATGGTGCAGTACCAGTATTATTAACAGGAGGATATGCTGGTGGTGGTTGTTGTTGTTTCTGTTGAATTGATGAAGCATAAGATGGAGGAGGTGGCGGTGTATTACTAGTTGTACAAATTGGTTGAGGGGACGTTGGAGCAATGGCTGTTTGTAGAACAGGTTTTTGTACTTGAGTACTTTTAACAGATTGCATAATAATAGGTGGTTGAGTTTTCGCTTGACGTGCTCCCCAAGCCTGTAACGGTGTAGGTCTAGCCATGGATGCTTGTGTACTTGGAGATATAGTAGACACAGTAATAGGACTTGGTGATCCAGCTGATGTTGGACCAGAGTATATACCAGATGACGGACTTTTCCTATAATCCTGTTGAGATTGTGTAGGACTCTGTCTATTTTGCATAGAAGTACTGTAAGATGGCGGTTGAACAGGACCAGAAGATGAGGAAGGGACTATCGGATAAGGAGGTGGAGGTTCAACCTGTGTACTAGAATTTCTATCGCATGATTGATAGATACTGAGTGCTTGCATTTGTTGTGATAATTGTTGTTGTACTTGCGGACCATTTTGTACAATCATTGGTTGGCGGCTGTTAGTATTATTATTAGACGACGCCACAGGGCTTGTACCTCTTTGAGGTGGATTTCCTGATCCAGATGTAGATCCAGAATTACCAGGTGCCGATGGAGGGGGTCGTGTCGGTACAACTGGAGCGGGAGACATTCGCTTGAGCATTTGCTGCATATTACTTGGTACATTTGGTTGACTATATGGAGCATGAGGTGGCGGTGGTGGTGGTGGCGTAGAACTACATCTTGGAGGAGGTGGTGGAGGTGGTTCCCGTTCTACAAAATTGCTTGGTGAATATTGTCGACTTAATTGTGGATGTGGACTAAGTTCCGTCAATCGTGGACTGTCAGATCGTGAACTTCCTGCACCACTATCTAATGCAGGACTTCCTCTTTGGAGACTTAGCTCCCTTTCTAAACTTGGTTTTCTTATCAGCTTGGTATTAAGTTTACCAAGGCCATTAAGAGATTCTCCTTGTGCTTGTTTTAAGAACTCTATTGCTCCATCTAAGCGCCATCCTGCGAGTTTCAGGGCACGTAACCCTATTTCCTGTATACCGAATTAATATAATCAAATATAATGTAAAGACAAAATTTTCAACATTATATTACTTATATTTAGCTAAAAAAGATTAAATAAACAAAAAGTTAGATAAAATCTTTTAATAAATGAACAATGAATTATAATAATATAATAAAATAGTATTACCATGATACTAATACTACCTCTGAGTATCCCATGGCTAATAACTGCGCTATTGCCTGACGTTGATCAGGTTTATCTGTGCACCCAGATGCAGCAGAAAGACCACTGAGACCTGATGCCGAACTGATACCACTAGTTGTCGATAAAGTTGATATAGTACTAGCTGCACTGGAACCAACTTCTCCTGCTCCTCCAATGTTAGCGAATGGTAGTAAAGAGTTGCGGATTTCAGCTAGTGCCTTTTGATGGTATCCAGAGCCACGAGTGCTCGATTTGCTGACCGCAGGAGGATTCATAGTGGCCCATGCTAGGTCCTTAGGGACCTAGCTTTAATCTGGCTGGGGCATATATATATCTATAATTAAAATATCTTATTATTATACATAATATTATACATAATGCACTTCTACCATTAATATGTCAATTATTTTGTGTATAATATACTCAGTCTTATTAAAATTTGACATTGAATATTTAAAACCAATGGGATACTATAATTTAAAAATACATACACTACCATGTCATAAAGAAGAAATCACAGACCTTAATTTATTTCTCACTTTGATTATTGTGATCATAAATGTGTGAAAGTGTTTCTCAATTTAATTTGTGATAGTTCTCAATTTAAATCTGTGCATGACAGATATGTAACACTGATAGCAAATGTGTCAAATTTAATTTATATTGTACACACATGATTTTGATATATATATAGAATAATATTAATATATAAGATAATATATAAAATAAATCAATAATAATAGAGAATAATGCTTACAGAACAATATAGATAGATGTTTTAATGTACTTTTCCACAAACACTCAGAGCTGTCATGGTAGTAGAAACGATACAAATTTTTGTAATGCACAATACACAAAGGATTGATTGGATGCAAGCAACACTGTATTATGAAAATATTTCACTTGCAATAATGTCACTTTAAAAGTATATGTTTCTTTTTTAATAATTCGTAGAAGAATACAAGTATTATGACAATAGTCTGTAAATTGACAAATGATGTCGAAACTTCTTACTGATATAAAATAATATGATCAGCTTTGTTATATATCATCAATTGTATTACAATTTCGTGCATGTTTTATATACGAAATTGCAATAACTATAGTTAGACATCGATGTACACAAAATGTTCAAGAAGTGCTGCTACCTTGGTATTCTCGTACATGATAGTACTCAGCATTTCAATGTTTAACCTATTCAACATAGGAGTTATTTAACTGATTAGAAATCTTTCTTAAATACAATCTATTATTTTGTAACACTTTATTCAATACACAATTAATGTGTTTTGCCAATAAAATTCTTCATGAAAAGTTTCTTTTTAAAAGCAATGGTGACAAGAATGTGATTCCTGAGCATATTACGTTCTCACATATATCTAATATCCATTAGAAGAGTATATCGTGCTTATTTAACGTATGATACACTATTTTTAAATAAATTCAAATAATCTCTTTATCGATCCACCGTTTTAATTATACAAGCGATAACAAAGAAAGATAGAGCCGTAAATTACTAAAGTGACTGGCAGCCATTTTGAAGTGCCACATTCCTACACCGACTTGACACTCTTTTTCGTAATTTACGGTCTGCATTATATTTATCGAAAGAAAAACTAACGAATATCTTAATGTAAACATTATGATAGGACCTACTATTTGGATTGAATATTTTTTTTAATAAAATACATTTTAGTTTAATTATAATTCAATTTCGGAGTGGATCCATTCGGTCAATTGTTGGTAATACGAGAGTGCATCTCCATGGTAAATGGATGTCAACACGATTTTCTACCAATCGTTCGTATTTAAATGTAACAAGTTCTTATCTAATGTTCTCATTGGTCCATCCAGAAGATTTTATAATGCAGTGCGTTACTGAACGCATTATCCTTCTTTTTTTTTTTGACATTTCCTTTTATATATCATTATTCGATATATCGATATCGAATATTTGCAATATTTCTTCGATGTAATTATATTTAGAAGGAAAATTGGAATTTTGCTAAATTCATTATGTACGATTTTAATCAATGATTATATTATCATTGCATATTAATAATTATGATATGTTTTCATATTTATTATTAATTATATTTTATAATTTAAGAAGTTAAACTATTATTTTTATTGAAAAGAATTGTCGTTTTATGTTCAAGAAATTTTAATTTTGTATTTATATAATAATTGTCAGTGATTGGTGCTTTCTAACCTGTTTCACGAGTCGCGGGTAATTTAATTTAAAAGTTTCCAATCAATCCGAATTCAAATATGATATATTGAACATATTAACAATAATTATACGTATTTAATTATATATCTAATCAAATTTAAATATATATATATATATATAAATACAATTAAATGTTATACATATTATTTTTTAATTCAGTATATTTTTAATTTTATTTTAATTAAAATTAAAAATAATAACGTTAAAATATTCCGCAAGCACACATTGTTGTGATGAAAACAAATAATTGATAAATTTAATTAATGCGTTTAAATAAATAAAAATAATTTAACGTAGCCAGAGAATTTTTTTTTTTTTTTTTAGTAACAGCTATATTTTATAAATATTTTACTATGCTTTTTTAAAAAAATATTTAAAAAAATATAATTTTAATAGAAACAAATATGGCGATGTATATGCTATATTAAGTATTATATATGTATATACGTAATTATTGTTAGATTTTACAAAAATAAGGAAAACTTGCAGGATAGAACTTAATTTAGAATAATTGCATAGATATTTATGCAGAGTGGTCCATTAACTGTTAGCACTTACATATTTTTATTATTCGTTACAATATAGAAGGTCAATATTTGTAAGCTAAATAATAATGATAGCTTTTGAATTGCTATTATTAATGAGGCTTCAATTTGCAGTAAATATTCGAAATTATAGCTGTTAGCATTGATGCAATGCTGCCTTGAATGACCTTGCGTGAACTTGCATGTCCTTGAGCCATACGTCGTTGTACTCCGCTCATGATCACCTATCACTCTATGGAAAAAAGAATATATAAATCTATTTAAAAAAATCAATGCGATTTTAAAAATTTTTATATGCCTCCACCTACACACAAAACATTTACACAGAAATATTTAAATGCTTATAGTTACTGGACAACCCTGTATATATATGTACGTATATTCAATGTAGTTACACATGTAATAAAATATCGTATTAATGAATATCATAGAACTAAATCTGTATTGTAATTATCATATGTTCTCGGTTTTATTATTTACTCTAGATGTAAATTCAAATAATATTTGTTTCAAATCAAGGACACTTGACACAAAAAAAGTATTTTTCAGAAGGTTGGGATAATTAATTGAATGATATTATCCCATGAGTCAGCGCGGGAAACACAGTACTTGAATTTCGAATAGTAAGGCCTTTAATTCGTTCATATCATTTTAAATCGGTTAACAATTAAAAATTCCTATTAATAATTCGTTAAGAATTATTCTTTAAATAAAATCATCAGTATTTTTAGAATATTGTAAGATCATTTAAAAAAATAACGTATATACATAATCTAATTGACTACGATTTTAAGTCGCAGCGGAAATGAAAGAAGAAGAAGAAGAAGAAGAATAACAACAATAAAATAAAATAATTATTCATAAATATGAAATGATAATTCATTTGTAGAATTATACACAAATATTTGTGTAAAAGTTATGTATTAAATATGTGTATACATTATATGTATAATTGATGATATTCCCGTTGAAAATGAATAATCATATATAAAATAAAAATAATATTAATACATAATACGAGGAATTCTAGTGATAAATATATTTATTTTTACATATTTCATTAGTTTCATTAATCATCTCGATTGTTTAGAAAGATAACGAATAGCTGTATTATACGACCAGAAAATTGACACAGTAGTGTAAAAGAAACAAATAAATATATAGTGCAACAACCAATAGTTTAGTGCTATATAACCATTCTTCCCATCAGATATAAAGAGAATGTTACCGTGACATCGTACAGTCTCTTAGCAGCATCAACGACGTACACAACGGAGAACATTTCGCAGACTTCTCGTCTTAAGTTAGTTATTTGTGAGTGAGACCATCTTTACCGTTTCTTTTCCTTCTGTATTTTTTTGCATATTATTTTGTATTTTTCTTCGTTAAAAAATATTGCGTGATATGCTCTCTTACAAATACATACACATAAACGTACACATACACGGATAGTGATAATTAAACATTAATTTTTTTAAAACGAATCGAAGGAGAATTCTTCTCTCTTGAGTATTATTTACTCAAGAAAATTAATTTTTTAAGTTCTCCTGTTGTGTCATCGTGTATTTATAATACGTAAGAGATGACAACTGACGTATACTTATTTTCTATTCTAAGATTATTTCATTTATCGATTGTCGGAGAATTTTAGATTCTCTCATCATGATTTTTCTCGTGTTCATTACGTGATATTACATGATAATAATTATTAATTGTTTCACGTATTCGGTCAATGTCTTATCGTTAAATTATTCAACACGTGTTAACCGTGCTTCCAAACAATCCCTTTTTTCATAATTTTTGTTAACATCATTATCCTTGACATTGAATTAATGTTACCGGAAGTAGCGGATGAAAAATTCCATAGGTGAACAGTATATCCAAACACATAATGTATCTAATATCACGATAAGTTAATTTATTTACATGTGTCCAATGTCAAGAGTACCCAACCAGAACTTGTACTACTCTCCTCTCTCCTTCCTCTCTTTATTTCTTTACATATTTCAAAAGTATCATTAAAGCGTTCAATTTGTCATTTACATTGTATTAAATAATTGCTCATGGTGTTCGTCATTTAATAACGAAATTAGACACGAATTAGAAATTCTTATTTCTGATACATAGTATACCTAGTATAGTATTTATGAAATAGTATGATATAATATTTTGTTGATATATTTGAGAAATATTGTATAGGGTACGAAAGGAATAATCGATTAAAAAATATTTACCTACAGGTATCCTTAATATTGAAAAAAAAATGTAAGTAAATTAGTTTTTTAATAAGAGAGAAAAAAAGAGAGAAATAGAGTGGGGTGGGGGAGGAAGTAGTAGATACATACCATAAGTACGTCATTTCATATATCAACAATAATGATTGAGACTAAAAAGGTCGTAATAATTAATGCGAACTATTTAATCGTAAGAATTAAACACATTGAGATTCTTCGAATGAGTAATGAAATATTACGATCTACTTTGATACGAGTATCATTAAAATGATATATTGGATTGACGTTGTATCTTTTTATATTTCTCCTTGTATTTTTTAATTTGTTTTTCTTGGAAAATTTTTTATTTTTTCATAAACAAACCACACATGATCTACAAGAATAAACACAAAGGATTATTTATCGAATAAAACATCTTGCATATGTTGTGTGTTTCAGTTTAATGTGATATTCTCGAGAAAGAAAAATAAGACAGAAATAATAGAAGTAAACGTTAACGAAGTCATAGAAAATGCGGACTGTTATATTGTCGATCAGCTTCTTTGGTCTTTTAAATATATTGCCGTATTGCGTCTTGGCTCAAGGTTTGTTATACCATTAACGTTTAACGAAATTCTTGAAAGAACATGTAATTCTAAGAAAATTCCAATGTTCATAGTCTTTATGATATAATCATGATTACTTGTTCTGAGTCCAATGTTTAATGGAACATCTTCGTTTCGTAGCTCACGGTTTTTTTTTTTTTTTATAAAAATTGATAGTAAATCAGATTTTTATTCGATTTTAAAATGCAGAATGCATATTAGTTAACACATTTCTTGTTCGTTAAAATAAAGAATAGAGAGAGAGAGAGAGAAAGAGAGAGAAAGTAAATAAGAGGAAGAATTAAAAAAAGAATAAGAAGTTAGTCGATTGGAATGAAAGTATGAACACAGTCAAGGTTTAAGCCTTTACTTCGAAAAATAGTATTTTAACGGATAAGGTCAACCAGATTTAAAACTAGTCACCATTTAATTCGATTTCATCGAAATTCCTCGAAATTATTTTAATTATAATAAAATATCTTATATTAAAATTTTGCATCATGGAAACGTTATAATCGATAATAATAGATTATATCTTACGAGATTGATGCGTCAGATTCGTGTAACTGCATTATGGATAATATGATTTTAATGATTGTTTATAGGCTATTGTTATTCATTCAATATTATGATAGTATGTATTACATTTTCGAAGAAACTAATTTATTGATTAAGCATGATTTCTATCGCGTAAGCATAACTTTAAAAAATCTTGTATAGAAAATAATAATAATAGTAATAATAACAATGATATGAATTTATAACGATTATAGATAAGGTATATGGATGATGCATAATTTTATCAATCGATAGTTCATAAATTCTTGATCCTGATAATTTCGTCATTATTGCACAATTATAAATAAAAGATTAAGAAAATTCTTATCCATGGCAATCGATGAAATATCTCTACTATGTTTATATAATTATAAATAAACTTTTTTTTAGATGGACCACCATGCATTAATCCTTTGGGAGCAAAAGGTGTATGTATAAATATTAGGAAGTGTCCAATTTTGATACAACTTTTACAAGCACAAAAGCCGGAAACAATCAATTTCTTAAGATCTTCTCAATGTGGTTTAGATGGTTCTGATCCACGTGTTTGTTGTCCTACTAATGTAAATGAAAATAATAGTAATGAATCTAATAGTAATGAGTCTAATAGCCAGGAAATTCAAGGTACATCTTATGGTCCTTTAACTCCACCAGTTTGTGGCAAGAGTTCTAAAGATAATGATAGAATTGTTAATGGTGTACCATCGACATTGGGTATGTACCATGAATATATTCAATTATATTGAGATATTTATTAAATTATTATTAATTTTTTATTAATTAGTAATATCGCATTGATTATCGAAAATTTATTAATAATTAAATTAATAAAAATGAATAATTATAAATCTTTATAATAATATTATAAAGACTTAATCTAATCAGATAATATGTCATTTATTAGGTGCCTGGCCATGGATTACAGCTTTAGGTTATCGCAGTAAAAGAAATCCAAATAAACCGGTATACCTTTGCGGTGGAACTTTAATTTCTTCTCGACATATTGTCACAGCAGCACATTGTGTTTATAATAGAAGAGATTTATATATGGTACGTCTTGGGGATTTAGATTTGGAAAGTGATAATGATGGTGCTGACCCAATTGATGTTTTAATAGAAGATAAAATTATACATCCGCAATACGATCCATCGAGTCATGTTAACGATATTGCTATACTCAGATTGGCTGAGGAAATTCCATTTTCACGTAAGTTTTATACAAATTTTTTGATTAAAAAGTAAGTGATGTCATGAAATTATTACATAAATTATTATGATTTTAACAGGAAATATTCATCCTATTTGTTTACCAATTAGTGAACCATTACTTCATTCCAATTTTTACAATACATTCCCCTTCATTGCTGGATGGGGAGCAATCTACTTCAGTAAGTACATTTATTGATTGATTTATGTATTTATCTTGTGTGTGTGTGTGTGTGTTTTTTAATTAAATATTAGATTAATTAGCGAAATATAATTACGATACAAATAGATAAACGTTTGAAAATATTTCAGATGGTCCAGCGAGTAGTAAACTTTTAGAATCACAAGTACCCGTAGTTAGACAAGAAAAATGTAAAAACGCATTTAAATCTTTCACCAATGCAGTTATAGATGATCGTATTATATGCGCTGGTTACGCTCAAGGTGGAAAAGATGCATGCCAAGTAAGTAAACAAAAAAATATTGATTACTAGTAAAATATTTATATAGATATAATAATTAAATATCTTGCATTTTGCATAAACAAGATTAAATTAATTCTGAATAAATAATTATTTAGGGTGACAGTGGTGGACCATTGATGTCTCCTGTTAATAAAAATTATTATCTTATTGGTGTTGTATCTTATGGATATAAATGTGCAGAACCTGGTTATCCTGGAGTTTACTCGAAAGTTTCGTCTTTCATGAGTTTTATAATAAATAATCTTATATAATAATGATTATATATATTACATTTGTATTTTGTATGCTTTGTATTATTTAAATATACGCGCGTAAAAGCTATGCTTCGATTGGTCTAAGTCACGTCTAATGGTGAGTCATGCATTTGATAATCTTGATGACAAATTGTTATATCTAATTGCTTCTTCGTGTTATCACATTGTAGTATTATTGAAATTGTTCGAAGTTAATACTAAAAATGTATATGCATAATTTGCTGATAAATTAGACTGTATATGTTTGTGTATATTATTAAAGAATATTATCTTTTACCTGTGTGTTTATTTCTTCTAAGCGGTCATAGATGTCGGGGTTGTTTAAAATGCCATTGGTAACATTGCACGTGTTACGTTCGTTTAGTTTAAATAAGCTCACCATTCCATTGCGTTTAACTGCAACTGGCCATTTGCTTAGAACAAGGAAGTGCGTTGTTTATCAAGAATTATTAAGAAAAATGTCTTACACCATTGTCGAAAGGGGTGCTTTGAATACGACGGATTATAGGATTTATTTCAGTAAGTTAGAAGAAAACCTAACCTTAATTCGGCTTTCGGCGTTTTAATACTAATTTGATCTTTAATCTTTAAAAGGTCGTATTGTATGCACGCCGCGTCATAGATGCACGCATCTTGCATGTCACGTATATTTAAATATCTGTTTCTTGTGTTTTATTATTAAATTGTTATTCTAGATTTCTCGTTATTTTCAATTACTTTCAATTTTATTTCACGGAACATATGACAAGTTGTAATAACTCGTAGATTTTGAGAAGGGGAAATTTTTTTTCGAATATCGTTTTAAAATTAAATTTAAATTAAATAAATTATTGTTTCTAATATTTATCGTATCCCTCTTCGATATAATTATATTATTTTTTTTTATAAATATACATATATATGTATATATTTGTTGTATTAGTTGCATTTGTAGAGATTTAAATGTCATTCAGTGACATTTAAGCTTTGGTGAAAGTGAGTTCTTAAAGAATTGTTTCCTTTTTCTTCTCTTTTATCTTTTTTCTCGTGTTAGTATATGCATATATTTATTAAAATTATTTTAATAACTTATAATTATATTTTTAATTGATAAATGTATTATAAAATGAATATATATATATATATATATATATATATANTATATATATATATATATATATATATATATACATATAAAATAAAAATATAGAAAAAAAAATCAATTTTAATTTTACAGAAAATGAAGATGGACCAATTTCTCCCTTCCATGACATTCCGCTTTATGCCGACGAGGAAAATAAGATTTTTAATATGGTTGTTGAAATACCAAGATGGACAAATGCTAAGATGGAGATTAGTCGCGTAGACCCCTTAAATCCTATCAAACAAGATACCAAAAAGGGCAAATTGAGATACGTTGCTAATTGCTTTCCTCATCATGGTTATATTTGGAATTATGGTGCCATGCCTCAGGTATTATTTTAATTCAATATAGAAAAATATAATAGGAAATTTACTTTGTGATAAACATCTATTAAATAATTTTATTCTCCTATCGTTATTATGTTACTTGTGTAAGAAGTAAAGTATTCAATTTAATCTCAACGTCGTCATACGTAATAGTTGTTATCATACTATATATACATATAATGATTGCAGTTCAAGGCTAAAAATTATCAGATGACTCTTCAATCATTTCTTTTATCGTATATTCCTTTTTTTTTTTTACTATGATAGAAGCTACTTACTTCCGTTCTTTGCTTTCTCTGTTTTTTTTTTTTGTGATTCATTAAAACTCAATCGAATAAATGTGTAATGAAAATTTTATATTTTTTATGTCGTAATTATAGACATGGGAAAATCCCGAAATATTGGACGAAGCTACTGGTTGTAAAGGAGACAATGATCCGATTGATGTTCTTGAAATTGGTTATAGAGTAAGAACATTAATATTTTATAAGATTATATATCAAATATATAAATTTATAAAATATCTCTAAATAACAATTTAATTCATAGATTGCTAAAAGGGGTGAAGTTTTACAAGTCAAAGTACTTGGAACTGTTGCACTGATTGATGAAGGTAATATTAATTTGTTCTTGGTTTTAATTATGTAATTAAAATTATTTACTGCGTTTATTTTTTCTTTAATACGGATATTTCAAAAATATTATTTCAGGAGAGACTGACTGGAAGATTATCGTGATTGATATCAATGATCCTTTAGCTGATCAAATGAATGGTAAATTTTATACTGCTACGAATAATTTAAATTTTTTCTCTTGTCAATAATTCAAATCTTATATTTTTAATAAATAAATAAATATAATTTCTTTAGATATTGGTGATATGGAAAAGCATTTTCCTGGTTTATTGAAGGCTACCATCGAATGGTTTAAAATTTATAAAATTCCTGATGGTAAACCAGAAAATCAATTTGCATTCAATGGAGAAGCCAAATCAAAGGATTTTGCACTGCATATCATAGAAGAAGTTAATCAACATTGGCAAACTCTTATTAAAAAAGATTCATCTACTACCGGAATTTCATGGTTAGTTTGTAAAGATAGATAAAAAACAAGTAAAACTTTGATACATGTATAGAAAATATGATATATAAAAATATTTCTATTTGTAGTATGAATACAAGCATAGATGAGAGTCCACATAAAATAACTACGATGGATGCTGAAGAGATTATAGAGAAAAATCCCCAAAAAGCAGAACCGCATTTGGTGGATTCTATTGGTAAGATTATATTATATTTATATATGTTCATATAAATTTGAAAAATTTAGAATATTTTTAGAATGTTTATCATATTTAAAATTCTAATTTCACTGAATTTAATAAGATTATCTTTTTTCAGTAAACAAAATTTTCTACTACCCCCTGTTACACAAGTTATAATAATCTTCTACTTATTTTAATTGTTTAACGATATTTAACGATGATGATTCTTATTATTGAAATAATGTTAAATAATTAATAATACTAATCATTTCGTATGTTCAAAATTATGATTAAATTTTTATTCATTTGATAATTTTGTATGATTTCAGTTAATAAGTGGCATTATGTTCACCTTAAATGAAGATACATGGATATTATATGTCGCAGCAAATTATTCTTAAGTTGGTATCAATACGATGCTCTCTCTCTATATTTGCTGGCATTTAATAGAGCAATTTCCTACTTATCATCTTCACATTAAATTCATACATTGCAGTTATCTATATATTCTCACTAATTGTAGATAGTATTTAATACCATTAGTTATTCTTGCAGTACTATAGTAATTAAACGTGCAACGTAATAGATTCTCAATGTTTTTTATTTTATAATTGAAATAATATGATAATTTAATATAAATTAATATTAATTAATTTATATATAAATTAACAACAATATGCATCAGTTGATTATTAAATCAAGACGATATAAGCGAAGTTATAAAAATGGCACGATATTATTGCTAAAGCACTGCAGCACGATTATTAAACGTTTTCATTTTGAAAACAAGCCTCACGTTTGTAACAGGTTGTGATATGCATATGCAAAATAGCTGAGTAAAGGGTTTTATTAGGTGAAAATAAGAAATTTATTTTATCCTCGAGGATTTCCAAAAACATCCCATTTTTGTGTTTGACTAACAAGTTTTCAAAATCACGGTAAATCATCCTTCCTTGTATATTCTTTTTCCATTTCACCATTTTTTAACATCAGAGATTCAAATTCATTGTTGAATTTTATGATAGGTGACATTTGTATTTTTTTTTTCGGGAACTACTCGGAAACGATATTACGTTCTTATTTTTACCGATCTTATCGATATTTGTCGAAAGCTCGTAATACTTGCACGTTGCATTCCATGAAAAGTGGTCTCAGAGGAGACATTCACATCCGTTTTGAAGTTTAGTTGAATGTACTTTACGAGCAATTCCTTGCCCATCCTCTTTCCTTTTGCTAGAGGGATTCGGACGATATATATATATCTACATAGCGTAGTGATAAATAATATAACTTCTAAGAAGGTTTTAAGAGAATACTTCTTACTACATTTTTAACGTCTATCACGAAGTTAATCATACGAATAACAAGATTAAATTAAAAAACAAGAATAGAGATAGAAATATGTCCTTACTAAAGAGGTAGTGGGAGAATAAATATGAGTAAGTTAGAAGTGGGAGGAGAATTGAAATAGTTATGCCAGACGTATATACTCTAAATCGTCGCACAGTTGTACTTAAATTTACAAAGTAGTGGGGACTTTTTTCTACTACTCGAAACAACGTGCTTCCACATAGTCGTTTCTCTCAAGAAAACGATTTATTTTACAAAGGGAATGTTCGCATGACATGTATTCTGAATCCTTGTCCCTAAGGAAACGTTTATACACCTTTCTCAGGGAAAACAACGGAGACAAGATGTAGGACGAGATGGTATATACATATATGTATGTATGTACGAACGTACGGTAAAGAACATAGGAAGAGATAGATTACGACGAACGTGTTTTCTTTCTCCTTTCTTCAAAAACGAAAGTTATTTTAACATTTTTCAGTGTCAAAAGAGAAACACGATTGATTTTACAATCCCTAGATACAGAGATAGATAGATAGAATTAAAGTTTAAATAACGTATCGAAGTATACGTGTGTACATACATACATATATTCGCATTATTTATAATATTTAATTAATAAATGAAAAAAGAACAAAAGAAAGTATACCTAAAGAAAATTCTTCTATCTACTTCATTGTCTGTATCATATTTGTCTGCTGATGATGATGGTTACACGTTGATCTGGTACCGATCATCTCTCGAGCTGCTGCTGCTGCTGCTGCTGCAAGAAAAGAAACAATAAAAAAAGTAGAAGAAAAAGAAGAAGAAGTGAAGTATATTGTAGGCAGGTAAAATAGGTTGGAAGAGAGGGGACAGAGTCACCGGTTGGCAGGTACCACTTTTGGGTCGAGTGTGAGACTCAGGAAAGTGTTCCTGCGTTTCTGCCGAATCCTCTGATTCTCTTCTTTCTCTTTTTATTTTGGCGCGCGCGCGCGCGCATACACACCTTCTCTCCTCCTTTCCCTCAGGTAAATCGAGCAGGTGTAGGTATTGACTACCGCGCGAGGTAGACCCCGAGCGCGCTCGCGCGTTTCTCTTCATTCTCTTTTGGAACGAAGAACGTGGGAGAGAGAAAAAGAGAGAAATGTGAGATAGAAATGAGAGAGAGAAAGAGAAAGATATAGAGGGAATAAAGAGAGAAAGAGAATGAGAGGGCGGAGCGAGGGGGAGTGGGAGAGAGAGAGAGAGAGAAAAATGCAAGGACGCAAGTTGCTATCAATCCGACAAGGATAGAACTAATGTGCAGCGGGCCACGGCACAGTGTAGTTCTTCTCTCTATCCCCACTTCACTCGATCCCCACGGCGGCTCAGTAAATTGACCAATAGGAGCGGTCGTTGCCGTCGTAGCACGGTCGACGCGGTGGCGTCGTTGTCGTTCCGACAGGCGCAGTCACAATTCCTTCGACCGCCGAACGGAACGTTTCTGTTTATCGCGTGTTTAACGGTACCGAAGTGAATATACGGATTTTCTTTTAAACCGCGCGTTGCATTGTTGCGACAACTTGCATTATTATTGGTGAACATATTTAACGTTTAATTAAGACAATTATTAAAACGTTTTATTTCATTATTTAATTCGTTGACTCGTTTGTTCGTTACGCGTATCGTCGTGGTAAAGTGTTGTTTTTTGAAGGGATTGTTTGTCTTCTTTTTCTGTCAATAAGGAAGAAAGTAAGGAAAGAAGAAAGGAAGGAAGGAAGAAAGAAAGTAGGAAATAAGTAGAAGAAAAAGAAGAAACAAACCATGAGATTTTCTTGGGCATTTCTGGCAACGGTACTCCTCGTACTTGTCACTGGAGCGAAATGCAAACGAAAATTCGACGGTGATTTTGAATTCGACGAAGAGGTAAGTAAATTGTTTTTATTTTCATTTGATTTCTTTTATATTTTCATTTTACTTTTTTCCTTTTTTTTTTTTTTTATTAAAGAGAAAGCTAACGTTTTCTATTTTATACAAAGAATTATAGACCGGTATCGATCAACCGGTATATTATATTATTGCGTATTTTTTGAAAAGATCAACCATCTTTTTTTTTCTAACTACTCGATCATTTAGCCCGCCTTTTTTCTAGCCCTCTCTCTCATTTTATTTCTTTTTTTTTTTTTCGTGTAACTATAATTCTTATATTTATTTCATCTCTTTCATTTTATGTTTTATTAAACGTTCGTGTTTCGCGGATTACTTTGAAGTAACTTTTTTTGTAGGAACAACTTTTGAATTAGGTTTTATGTTTTATACGAATACAAACGAACATTGCGGGGAACTTAATTAGGTTTTTACCTTCTTTCAAGTTAAGTGGCATGTCTCGGCAGAAATAATTACTTCATTTATTTTTTTTTTTTTTTAATATTATTTTTATATTATCCAGATAACCTAATTAGTCTCGTATTTGAAAAATTATAGCTTTATTTTATATTTCAATTTGAACGTAAACATTTTACGTATATTTATAAAAGATATTTAAATAAGATTTCTCATTTTTATAATAATTTATAATAGATCATTTATTTTCTTTAACGATGTTTTTGATTAGCCGTTGTTTTCAAATACCCAAATGAAATAATCAATCAGAATTGGTTTCATTATTGCGAATAAATGGATTACTTAAACTTTCATTTACTCTCAAATGAAAGGAATCGTTGGTTTAATTACAAATTATCGATAGAACTGTTTAGTATTATATGTAAACACGTTAATTTGTGTGTATATAGATATATGTACATACATAAATCTATAAATAAATAATTTCTATGTATAAATGTAATCATTTGTAAATAACATCAGAGGTAGAAACTATCTCCCTTTAGATATTTTACATTGATAAAAGATAGATTTTAATTGGATAGGATCTCTCCGATCAATTACAGGTTTAATTTATCATGCTTGTGATAAGAAAATTGGTCTCATAAGAATAAAATGCATAGGAGTGTCAATCTCAAGTATTATTTACAAAAATCCATTATATTTTGATGATATATTTTATTTAGATATGAATACTTTTGTGAGACCAATTCTATTAATATTCTTTAATTATACAATGTTTATCTGTAATACAATTAATATTGATTTAAAATAGGTTTTTGTGTAGAAAACTTATAATATTACAAAGTAAATATTAAGAATCAACTTACGTCAACTTTCATAATAAATGAATTCATATGTGTATGTTACATTTAAATATTAATATGAAGTTATGTATATGAAGTAAAAGGTGTTAACTTTAGTTGCAACGTCTTTCAAATCGATATTCATTCTGGTAGAATCGTACGATTGTGTTTCGTTGATCGTTCTCGCTTGAAAATATAATACATATATATATATATATGTTCGCATTACACACGGCTGGCTAGCTTGAACTTTCGACGATTGTTCGGAAAAGCTCGAATTGTCATTGTCAGTGGGAAAGCTTCGATTTCTGGCCGAATTGAAAGTTCGAAACAAACTGACAAGAAACGTGATCAACCAACCAACCAACTAACCAACCTATCAACCAACCAACCAACTAACCAACTATTGGTTAAATGAAATTAATGAAAGATGTAAATAGAGTATCTTTATTTTATTTCTTTTTTTTTTTATTCTTAACGATCGATTTTTGTCACAGTTATTATCAGATTTTATAGGAAGACACCACTCATATACATAATGGAATTATTATTTTATTTTGTCTATATTCGTTATATTATATATATATATATATATATAAATTCAATATAACGTTTAATATAAAAGTCCAGGTAGATGGAAAAAGAATTGACGTAATATACATATGTGTGATGGTGGGTGGATGTGTATCTCTCCTAGGTGTATAGGTATATGTGTGTGTTTGTAGGTAGTTAGACATATCGATTGTTCGGTCCTGTAATAGAAAAGAATCGGTTATCTATTCGTGGAATAAATATTATCGTGACCCATTGTAACATTTTTTTTCTCTTTTTTTTTTTTTTTTTTCAATCATATAGTTTTGCATTGAATTTTTTAATATTTTTTTTTCTTCTCTCTTTCTTTTTTAAAGAATAAGGTTACGTGTGTACAGTCTTGTATGTATGTCTCTTTGCATTTTTTAAAAAATATTTTTCGCAATACGATCTTCTTTACAATTCTGTTCTTTTTATCATGTAAATTCGGTCGGATTGTTTATACCTATTTATTTCCTCATTTTTTTTTTTTTTTTCGATATACATCGGTGGTGTATATGTTACATTGCAAAGATAGAATGCATCGATTCCACTTTTCCCCCACATGTTCCTGAATACGCAACCGCATCTCGTTGGAATAATTACAATAACACGAATATCGATAATCACCAATCAACGAGTATTTGATATCTCCCATACCTACGTAAATGTTTAGATTTCTCGGTATTGAGATATTTTATTTTCTTTTTTTTTTTCTTTTTTTTTTAGGTTTATTATAACAAACAATTTTACGTGATTTTAAATTATATGTTCGAACACATTTTCATTTTTATATTTATTTTTATTTTAATTCATTTTATTTCAAATTTGTCTTTCGTTCGATTTATTTTTATGATCTATATATATATAAATAAAATCGTTGAATCGAATAGCAATAAATGAAATAAATGAACCGTTTTATTATTACAATAGAAATATTATTATACACATTGTGAATTTTCTATAATTTAAATTTATTTGAAAAAAATAAGAGATTATTTATTATTTCTTTTTTTTTTGTTTTGTTTTAATGTGATTTTTATTATTATTTTCTTTTTTTTTTTTTTTTCTTTTAATCAATATTTTTAACGTTTATTTTAACGTGATATTTGATTTTGCAACGGTGAGGTTTTTTGTATTATGTGTTTTTGAAATATATCAATTAATTCGAATGACAAGTTTTTTCAATTTTTCACCTTGTTAGATTATAATTAAATTCAATTCGTCGAAAATATTCTTCGGATACGGGAATGAATGGTTAGTTTAATTAATGAAATTTTTGTATTCGAGATATATATGAGAATTGGAATCGTATTCAATGATGATGATGATGATGATGATGATGATGAGATTAGCTTATAGAGAAAAATCATTTTATTTTATTTGAACGTGAATATTAATGAAAAAAAAAAAAAAAAAAACAGAGAATATATTTCGTCGTTTTCGTCAATATGTCGTCATTTTGTAGTAGAAAAACAACAAATGAAACTGAATTCGTTTAATTATAAAATAAACTATATATATACGCGTTTGAACGTTTTAAGTTACACGATTACAAAATTTGATATTTTTTTTCGGGTTATTTGATAAACGAATATTTTGTTTGTAATTCAAGATTGTATTTAAATGAATTAACAGATGATATTCTGTATTTTTATTTCTTTTTTTTTTATAAGTTTATAAACAACGAATAGATCGTTGGATATGTCAAGTTATATTTAGAATGAACTTGTTACGAATGTGTTCTCTCTCTTTTTTTTCTTTCTTTCTTTCTTTTAAATATAAAAATTGTTATTTTTTTTTTTTTTTTTAATTTTTTATCTTATACACGAGAAAGAAACAACGAAGAGGAAAAAGAAAAATAATGTTTTCTACGTAGAGATTTATTATTAAAATTTTTGTTAAAACCTTTCGTTGTAAGTTGGACGAAGTAGTAAGAGACGAAAGTCGTATAACGATTCTCTTTTAGAATTTATCCGAAAAAGAGAAACGTTCTTTCTCTTTTGTTTAAATATTCTAGGACGTTATTTCCAACTTTGTCACGTGAAACGTTGATAGTATGTATTTTTGGTGTTTATGCATCGCATATATACATATACACGTGAATGTATATGAGTATGTATATATATGTAATAGACGGTGAATGTACCTGAGGGATTTTAAATCGAGGACATCGGCAAGATATATTTTTTTTATATTTATATATTTCTGTTTAAAGTTTTAATCGACTGTCAAGAATAGTTTTCTTTTCCTTATTAAATAAATAATTTTGAAAAATATTTACAATTCTATTCTAAAAGTTATTATACATTATATAAGATTAAAATTAAACAAAATGTATAATTTTAATATAAAAAAAAAAACATTCTATGAATTTTTATGAAAAAGTTTTGCGAATATTTTACAATTAATTCGAATCCTCAAATATCACGATACGATTAAAAATATCTCAATGTTCCTACATTATATAAATGAATATATTACATTGAGATAGATGTAACCTTTGAAACCTTTGTTAAATATAATTTGAGTGTAATGTTTAATGGAAGATAAATGTAACACATAGAATGAGATAAATAGGAAAAGATAAAAAAAAAAAAAAATAATAAAATGATGATTAATATAAAGTTGTAGGAGCATTGATGAGAGGTAAAATGATTGCATTCTGGTGCATTGCAGCAATCGGAAAGGAAGGTAGGTTAGGTGAGGTAAATCTAAGCGGAATCGTGGCAGGTGGTAAGAATCTCGGGAATGTCGACTGACACCTCTGGTAACATTTGCCAACTCTCGTCTTGTCACCCATCCATTCGACTTACGATCCCTACACCTCCTACTTTCACATTACGATCCTCCTCCTCCTCCTCTTCATCCTCCTCATCCTCTGGTTTATTGTTTACGAGCTTCGGGAAAGTGCATGTAAGACGAGATACATCGTGCAAGGATGAGTTTGTTTCCCAAGGTTTACTTTACCTTGTTTACTTACACTTTATCACGTGGATACATATATGTATATATATATATATATATATATCTTCTTCTTCTTTGTTTTTCTTTAACCCATTACTTGCCACAATACGAAAATGCAAAAAAAAAAAAAAAGAAAAATTAAATTAACTGTATAATGATATTCATACTAACCAAATAGAATTGTTTTTGGCTCTTTTTTT